ATGAAAGATGGAGTCCTTTTGCGTACAAGTAATATTTTCAATTCTTGGGTCTAATGAGATATAGAAGTTAAAAGTAGAGAATAATAGAATATTTTCCCTATATATATATATATATGCTGCGAAAAGAAAGAGGTCTTGATAGATCGCTATAGAATAATTTGCTTGGTTTCAAAACATTGCTCTCACGTCCTATGGTTGGCTCGCAATGAGCCAGACAACATAACCCTAAACATGTAAGGCGTGGGCTACAAATTATGGCTCGAGGGCTTCATTAGGGCTAGTGCCGGCGCGGTTTGGCTTGGCAGGTCTTTTTTTTATATAATGTTTTCTTCATTTGTCTTTGCCCTACCCTGGAGTTCTCTTTATTTGCCTTAGCCTACCTCGGATTGGTCTGGCTAGGGCCTCAGCCAGCCCTATGGGATAAAGGCCAGGCCTGATGCCACCCTTATAAGAACAAAGAAGACACGAAGGAGGAGGCAAGCATGTGTAATATGCTCTGTTGAGAGATACTATACATTTGCTCTCTAGCGTCTTATTTGGTAGGATGTTCTTGGTTTACAATTTTGGAATCCATCCAATTATAACTAGTTGATCATTTTCAAAAAAATTGGAATTTAAGTTCTTGAATATCTAGATTATTGCCTGCTTGCAAAAATTAAATGGTTATAATGCAATCTTGGGATGCCATTTTTTAGGACATGTAAAGTGTGAGAGTTTTAAATTTTTCATTGAGCTTGATGCTTGGTTCTAAAGATCACGTCCCCAAATTTGGGATCTAAAATATATTCCTACCTTAAGTTTCACCCCAGGGAGTTTATAGATAGTATACTCCTCTGAGAGTAGGAAATCTTTAGCAGAAGTATTACTCCTATACTATGATCCGGAGACCCAAACTGTTATAAGAAACGAGAAAGCAGGAATTTATGAAACATGTGAAACGCAAAATCGAACCAGAACGGTTAACTGGACCTCAGGCAGAAAGTGATTCAACCGGCCTAATTGGTAAACCAGTCGGTTTAACCGGCTTAATCGAATATATTTTAAAACATGAATAAACAAAGTACATTCAAAGTTGAAAATTAATAAAAAAAAAAAGTAGATTTTAAAAAATCAATTTATGTTTAGGGGAATTTTGAATTTTTCAAAAAAAAAAGGGAAAATGTTAAAAGTAAGTATTAATTGTCAAAAGAATTTCTAATCTTTTCAAAAAAATTGAAAAATACATTATAAATTTTTATTTTTTGAGATTTTATATAATTGTTTTCAATTTATTTTTAAATATCCAACCAGTTCACCAAAACCAACTTAACTCAGAACCGCCAGTGGCCTATTCCCATTTAACTGCCTACGCGGATGGTTAGAATTTGGACCGCCCTATTTTTCCTACAATGATGTGAAACCCTGATATAAAGGCGGGATGAATGGAATGGGTCCATTCATCACAAAAAAAAAACTCCATCAAACCCAACACTTCTTTCTCTAAATTCCAAGCGCAAATTGGAGACGAGCAATTTTCTCTCACTTCCTGCTCTCCTCTTGAAAATCCACTCAACTCTAGGTTCCCAACTCTCACTCTTCTTCTTATTCAATGCGTTGGATTGAGAAACTCATTATCAATCCTAGTTTGCTTATTTTTCATGCTGGTTTGCTAATTCTTGGGCCATAATACTCTTTTGTGGAGAGATTTTGGAAAATCTGTTCATTTGGCTCTATAATTTTAAATTCTTTCGACCAATTCATCATTTTATCCGTGCATTCCCAGAAAGAAAATCTGCTTGTTTTGTTGATCTCAAAATTTGATGCATTTCCCCTCTTTTCTTGAAGAACTGCAGTTGGATTTTATATTGTTATGGCTGAGACATGATGTAAGTTGGTTTTTTATTTTTCTTAATGATAGTGATTTTCTTGAATGAAGGCAGAGTGTGTAGCTTCTCGATTGAACATGCGATTTCTTGTGATTAACGGTTATCTTTTATTTAGTTATCATTATTATTATCTTTACTGCCTATATGGATCAAAATGCTTTTAAGGGATTTTTGGACTTTTTCCAAGACACCTAGCAAAAGGTGTCATATGCATTGCGGTGCGCACTGAAAAACTACTATTATCTACTTGATGGAAAAATTTGACTTAAGGAGGTGGTTTGAACCTGTGGGGCTCCTTGGATGGCAGCCATACATAGACATTAGTCTCTCTCGGGAGGCATGAGAAAGAGACGCATACTGCACATAAGTGATTTGAAACCATGTCTGACATGGATTCACGCCCTGGGTGATTGGAGTTGACCTGCAGTGTTCTTGACTTGAAGAGCCATTTTATTTCTTTTAAAAGTAAAAAGCAGAGAAAAAAAGATATAATGGATAGCACACAAATAAATGTAGATAGCGCATAAACTACATGTGTTATTTCATATGATTATTGATCTAGGGTTCCATTGAATACGTTATGGAAAGTCTTATATAAAATAGTTCATTCTGTGATTACGACCTAGTCTCAAAGGTTTGTTTCCACATGAATGGATATGTGTATGCATGCATGGGTAAACAATGCTTCCTAGGAAGGATTTTGAAGCTTTCGTCATGGGAATTCACAACCTTAGAACTGTCTTATGGTGGTGATGAGACATTGTACGGTTTTCTATTTGTATTGTCCACAAATTGTGTCCATTTTGCGATGAACACAATCAACAACTGTTGGACAATGGATTTTCCCTTCGGAGGATGGAAGAGCTCCATATATAGCACAGTGTTCATTTGTTCGATTTCATTTGTTATTCTTTAATTGTGAGTGATCTTTATAAGCATTTTATTACCATTATAGCATTGACAAATGTGTGAAATTAGATCCTTTTTCTTCATTTGCTCTTAGGCTTGGAGACCAGGTCAAATAGGAAAGAGGGAATTGCCGTGGGCTTGGTAACTTGTAATAGTTGAATGGAACCTTTATCTTCTTTCAAACATATATATACCTTTTTTGGAATTCTTGTTTTGTAATAGTCCACGTTATGTTGTTTTTTAGTTCAAAGATGATAGTTTGGGCTTTTCCTAATCATACAACTGTCATCTGTTTAGTTTTCCCATCAAATTCAAGGCGATAATTTTTATAACCTCTTGATTGGTCAGTATAATTCATTTCCACAACTACATATATATAAAGCTAATTTTACTAGGAGATTAATGGGCAGCTAAAAGTGAAAAAGCAAAATAAACTTGATTATATGGCAACTCTTGATAACCTGAAATTGAAAACATAATAATATTTAATTAGTTATGGTATAGGCTTTTTACCTCTTACAATCCTAGCTTCCATTGGTCTTTATTGGTTTCGAGAAAGCATACGCTAGGGCACTTAGAGAGATAATTTAGTGTGTGTTGGAAAAGAAAGGAGTCTCAAGAGGATATATTGATATGGTTATGGATATGTACGAGGGAGCGCTAACTAATTTGAGGACAACTAATGGAAAGACAAGTGAGGATTTCAGTGATAGTAGGCCTACTTTAGGGGTGAACATTGAGCCATTATCTTTTCACTTTGGTTATGGACGAATTAATTAGGCATATACTGGATGGTGTATGTGGTTTGCAAATGACATAGTTGTGATTGATGAGACTAGAGTTGGCATAAATGTGAAGTTAGAGCTTTGAAGGGATGCTTTAGAATCTAAAGGTTTTAAAATTAACCAGACTAAGTAGAATATATGGAATTGCAAGTTTAGTAATAACAGGAGCAGAAACGAAGAATTAGTTGAGATTGATGGCCAAAAAAATACCCAAATGTGATTATTTACAATGTCTTGGGTCGATAATCCATGTGAAAGAGAGATTGATGAAGATCTTGCTCGCATAATTAGAGCTGAGTGGATGAAGTGGAGATGTGCTATTGGAGTCTTATGTGATTGTCGCATACAAATAAAACTGAAGAGGTAGTTCCATACGATGATAGCGATATCAGCCTTGATTTCTGGGACAGAATGTTGGGTGGTCAATAAACATCACCATAAAATAAGAGTAGCTGAGATGAGGATGTTGTGATGAATGAGTGGCAAGACAAGGAAGTATAGAATTTGAAATGGATATATTCAAGGGAACTTACGGGTAGCTCCAATTGGCAATAAAATGAGGAGAAGTAGACTTAGGTGGTTTGGTCATGTGCAGCGTAGACCTAAAACAATATTGGCTAGGAGGGGTTATTTGGTTCAAGTGGAAGACTCTAAAATGAAAAGGGAAGGGCCTCAAAGGACATGGATGGAAGTAATGAGAAAAGATATGTTGACTGATCGTTTGATTCAGGGTATGGCCCTCAATTGAGCGGAATGACGAAACTGGATTCGTAGAGCCGACCCAAATGGTTGGGATAAGGTCGGATAATCATGATGATAATGTATAGGAAATCATCTCAATTGATCCTTGTTAATATGGGTATGTTGAGTGCTTTTGTTTATCTCTGTTTTTTAAAGATGGTTCATTTGGGGATCTCCTATGCACATTATTACTGATTCTTTTATTTTTTTAATGGATTTAAATTTTGGGTTAATTAATTTCATGATGATAATGAAAAGATCGCGTAAATCTCCTAACACTCCACAATCTTGTACATGCTTGATTTAATTTTTCATTAGAGCTTTGTTTTCCCTCAGCTAGTGCCAACTTTCCAGAACGATACATACTATTCTTTAGATTTCTAGTCCTTGTGGCATTAATTAAAGACAAACTTTCAAAAAGGTTGGTTTCATTCTCATGCAGCGAGTAGTTGGTATCCCCAGTATCTTTTTTCATGGTATGCTTTAGATTGTTTAATATTTCTAGCCACATTGGATGGCTTCATTCTTATGTTACGCTTTGTCCTTGTGACTTGAGTTTGTTGTAGGTACCATGCACATGGAAGTTCACAAAAGTCTTCACAACAAGAATTTTGGATGATGGGGTTATTGAGGTGTTTGAGTATTCCTTTACTGGTTATCCGCAATTCAGTTGACAAGTTAGGACTCAGCAATTCTGGCAAATCCTTATCTGTGTTGACTGCAATTGTAACTATAATGCGGAGAAAATTTTAATATGCTCTCTTTATCAGATGCTGATTCATCCAAATTTATTCCTTTATATGGTTAGCCTAGGCTTCTTCCACCATATGATTGCTTCTTGGAGGGTTGCTCGATAATTTTTTGTTCTTATGTCAGTACTGCACAATTTTTTATTGAATTTAAGTTCCTAGATTGGAATTTTACTTTTTGATATCCTATATACAGGAAAGTAAATGCAAATTCTGCCTTCACAAGGATCGTTATGTATTTAATTTGAATGCAGGAAAAGGATCAGGCACGTATAGAGGACAAAAATTTGCACATAGTTTTTGTCTTAGGTGAGTATATACTCTAATGACTAAGAGTTTTTTATAATGTTTCCATTGTTCTTACTTTGCACTCTTACTTGCCTTCTCGTTTATCCTTGGATATGCTTTCCTCTCATTGTGGCTTTAGTTTAAATCTTAGATTTGGGGGACAAACCTGCTATTATGCCTAGAATGTCTTCCGAGTGTAATCGTCTTCCCATACTTGTAGTTTCCTCTAAAGAAATTAAATAGATGGCGCCTACATCTTTGTGGCATGCAAGAAAACTTCAGGCCTATGTTGTCCTTCTCTTATAGTTTTATACTGGTAATGGATAAGACTTTAAAGCTATGAGAATAATGTGCATAAATGCAGAAATCCCACATAAACCTACATATACATGAGCTTACCTACTTGCACGCATTAAGGCACGTAATAATATATTCTAGCATGTAATTAAGGCATTATATTGCATATCCAATTGGCGGGCGCTCCGTTTTGAGGGGTCACACACGCACACACACACATGCGCAAGTGCACGCGCACCTGTACACACACACACATGTGCATCACAAACGTACATATATATAATGTATGTATATATTTCTACTATACAAATATTTTGTATATGCATATGAAAAACGCACACATATCTGCATCTATACGTACAATCAATTGAATTTTTTCATAAAAGAAATTTAAATATAAGTTTTTTTTTTTTCTCAAAATTTTATATTAGACGGGTTTGGGGGGCTAAATTATCCTCCCCCCAGTGCCTGCCTATGCCCATGCCTCATCTCGAGGTGCTGCTTAGATGCCAAGTTGGGCCGTTTCTTGATGTATTGTGTTTGTATATAGCATATGATCTTATAGTTTTTTTCTTTTGGTAACTACTAAATTTCATTTGCAAGACATGAAAGCTACATTGCATAAAGGAAGACAATCAAGGTTGCATGAAATTCTAAAATCCTAGTATGTCCCTAGATATTCGTTCATTTGTTTGCTCGTTCTCCATTGGGTTGGCTTCCTTTTGGAATACAAAGAACCTAGATTACATGAAGCAAAGACAATGGATCTGAGATCTCCAAGGTATGTTTGCTTATAAAAACCATGGCAAAACAGTAGTTTGATATTACACCTTGCATTGACCTTTGATACACAGGATTTAAGATTATGTGCATTGGTCAGTGTGTACTTAGATTGTGACGAAGCTTAATTTTAGTCTCACTAATTTAGTTGCATGCTGTAAACATTATTTTACTAATGTTCGCATTTTAGATTTCTTAATAATTTATAATTTTCACTAGTTGTAGAATTTGAGGTTGCTCCTCATATATCACACGGCATATCATGGGTTCATGTCATTGTGGAGGCTTCTCCCATCTTCATATTGTTTCCCTCGCGTTTATGGTGTTGGTTGTTTTGGCTTATTGAGTAAGCCAATTTGAGCCCTTCTTTTTTGTGTGTTTTTTTGTGGGGGATTTGACATATTTACATCTTCATAAACATCACCGAGAACAAGTTTGCTGAGTAAATATTAAAAAAATAAAAAAGACAATAGACTTGCAATAATGAGGAGGAACTGCGCCTAAGGCACCCATCTATACCCTCAAACTAGGGTTAAGATCAGCTGGAAACCGGAAATGGGCCGTTTGGTTTTCAGAGGACAAGTTTTAGAGAGAGATTCAAGCTAGCTTGTCAAGTATCTTCTAGGCTTAACAGATTTGGGGAGCCTGATGAGAAAAAAATCATGTGCATTGGTTGTCTTAACAAGTATCTTCAAGTCTAAACAAGTTTTAGAGAGAGATGCAGTAGGCACGAAAAGGTGGGTTGCAGTTGGAGGAGTTGAAATGATAATTAAAGTTCAAAGCAGATGAGAGAAAAATCATGTGCATTGGTTGTGCATGTTACTGGGCAACTAGTGGTTGGTTAGTATGGGATAGGTGTTCAGTATATTATCAAAGGGGTAGCCGAAAGGAAATTAAAAATGGATCACAATAGAGGGATGCCAGACGGTGGGCTGTGAAGGAGCCGGAGAAACATAAAAGGATATAGAAAACATGGGCAACGAAGTTTGTAATGGTGCAGGTGAAAAAGAAATGCCATTAGGAATTAATTGAAGAGGACTGGGAGTTTCAATTCCCCTTTTTCTAAGAAGTGTGTAAAACCAGTTGTGCTTCATTGGTAAGTTCTTCCTCTTGCATTGGATTTTCAATGGTTGAAGGTTTGGATCAAGGACAATTGAATGCTTGTTAATATTTTGACCAATGGAATTATAGCAAAAGGCTGTTTGCTACTTAAGGGTATGTTTGGCAAGCACATAATATTCAGATATTCCAGTATATTACTAGATTTAGATATTCTTTAACACGATATGGTTAAAGCCACGTTTGATAGAGCCTACGGAATCGCATGAGATTTGAATATTACCCCAAAATCATTATCTTCTAAAAAACAGGTGGGACTTGAATTTAAAAAGATTTTGAAAATACAAACTTGCGGCTTTCCACGGACCCTCTTTCTCTCTCTCAACTTGCTCTCTCTCCTCTCTATCTCTTTTGGGTAGAACTTGCCATGCGTCTTTCTCTCTAGGGTAGAACTTGCTCTCTTCCCCTCTTTAAGTTATGCTTTAATTAGATTGACCCATATCCTTTTGTTGTGTGAATAAAATGAAGAGGGTGAAGTTTGAGATGGGGAATTGCCTCCTTCCTCAACCATTAGAGAATCTGTCAAAAGAAAAAGATGGGCTGCTTATAGACACTCCATTTAAATGGCCTTCTCCTGTTCCATCTTGGCCACCAGATATCTCTCTATCTAGACATGAATAGACATGCGTCGATATGTATGGAATGCTTCTTAAAGTTGGCAGATATCTTGGCCACAAGCGTGGGAGAGAGAGAGGTCTGGTCAGTGGGAGAGAGAGCCTGAGAGAGATGATCAAAAGCCTCTCCATGTGACTGTGATACGATGAATGGATGAGGGAGGTAGAGCCTTTGAATTATCCTTTTGAAAAACCCTTTGTTGCACCAGGAGAAATTGTGAGATGTGGCTTTCCAGCCAAACAAGCACAAACATATATATATATATCACAATAATATTTAATTCAAATAAATGAAAAAGGGGCAATGCATTTATTGAGATTTTAAATAAATTGAATAATCAGATTCTTTTTTGTCAAACAGATCCTAAATCTGTGGGAAATGAGGATGTAGGATGGGTGGACGTACCATGGATAGGGAGATCAGTTAGGATCTTTGGAGGCTAAATGGCTCAGGGCACAGTTTTCCTTGATAGTATTGGTGTGAGGTGGCTTTTGCATGATTGTTTGTGCTGTCAGGAGATAGAGGAGGACTACATGGAGCTGCTTTTTTTGTTGGAGTTATTGTGCTTCGTGCATTCTATGGTGAAATTGCTGTGAGGGATAACCGTGGAGCTAATATTGTTCGGGGTTGAGGATGGTGAATTTAAGATAGGACTTCTATTGGATGATAGTTGGGAAAATTTATGAACGGAAGTGGTAGTGAGGAAGAGGGTTGTGTGGGCTACTGTCAATCCGCAGATGTAACAGGGAAATATCCTCAGAAGATGAAGGGGTTATTATTACAGTTACGGGTCGATGGAGATATAAGAACGCAAGGTTAAAGTTTTGAGGAGGGATTCATGAGAGCTGTGTTAGCAATTAAGGCATAGAGAGGCTGGTAGTAGGCCTCATCATTAGGAAGGGATAGGTCATGGGGTATTGAAATGAATGAGGTCGAAGTAGTAGGCTCGAGTTGAAGGAAGGTTGAGATAAGGAAATGGGAGGCCATGGGTGTTGAAGGGTGAATATGTTGTGTGGAGAGGAGACTAAGAAGACAGGAGGAGGAGACGATTAGAGGGCACTGTGAAGGTCAAACGCTTCATCTTTGTATTCTAAATTGCTTCAAAATGCGTTACATACAATTATAAATCCTTATGATATTTATGCCTAAACAAATAAGGACAGTTACGTTATTTTTTCTCTATAATTCTTCTTTCTAACCATAACAAACACAATCACAATTATATGCTCATCACAAGCACCCTATCACAGATGACCAGTTGCATGCAACTTATATCTGAAAATGTTCAGTTCAACATTCAGTCCGAAAAATAGGTGTAATGGAATGGGTACAGTGCAAAAAAAAAAAAAAAATCTTTGACTGGATATTGGCAGCACAGATTAGTGCCAGTGGAGTTGGAACTTTTAGGCTCTAGTGGCACCAAGATCAGGACTGAATAAGATACTTGTGGGGTATCGAGGACATCAGTACAAAGAATTTCACTGATAGGCATGTAGGATATCTATGAAATTTTTAGTTTTCTAAAGAGCAATTTTGGGAGAACATATTAGGTTGATAATCAACGAGATTAGGGATGAAAAAGAGGAGGCAATAGTGGGGTGTGGGAAGTGGGGGCGCTCAGACCAAGTTTTGCATCTCAAGTAGGGATGACTACATCTGAAGAAGGGATGATGAGGATGGGGGGGACAAGAAAAGTGAGGACTGCTACAAGACACGTTTGCCTTGTTAGTAGGCTAGGACGCCTTTCAAGGGTCCTGGGAACTTCTGCTGATTGCAAGTCAGGCAAGTAAGTTATACCTTCTGCCTTCTGGAATCTTCCACCTTCTTGATGAGGTTTTATAGGAAGGTTTAGGGGCAATGTATCTTAGAGTGCGAGGGTCTATGCTGGATTAATGGCAAGTGGTTGTGGTTTACAAGGCTCCCCAAGCTGATCTGTAGGCTTCTTAATAGGCTGCGGCTGGAGTACTCTTCCTGGTTGATTATATATTTGATTTGTTATGGTTGTGCATGGATATTGAAAGACTGATCAATAAAGGGTTATTCATAGTACATTCTTTGAATCTCGCTCTCTCCCTCTCTCTCTCTCTCTCTCTCTCTCTCTCTCTTTCTCTCTCTCTCATTTTACTGAATCTTGCTTGTGTCCTCTGTTCCATGCACAGTTTTTCGGAATGTTTGGAATGTGTAGTTCAGCTTTGCTTCTATCTCTTGATTATCTTTTCATTTTCCGTGTTGAAGTTCTCCAAGAGCTCCCGTTGTATTTGTTTTTATGTGGCATACGTTGTCTTTCCTTTTATCTGTAGCTAAACAATAAGACATGTATTTTCAGGGGGTCCTGGTAGTGGGAAAGGTACTCAATGTTCAAAGATCGTTGATACCTTCGGATTTTCACACCTTAGTGCTGGAGAACTCTTGAGGAGAGAGATGTCTTCTGATACTGAAATTGGGTGCACATTTGCATTGTTATCTTACTCATTTTGACCTTGTTTTAATGTGGATTGCATTATGGTTCAAGTATTCTGATCAGAACATGAAATTTTCCTTTATTTTTCAGGGCTATGATTTGTGATACCATCAAGGAGGGGAAGATTGTTCCTTCTGAAGTCACAGTAAAGCTGTTGCATAAACACATGGAGGCCAATGAGAACAATAAATTTCTGATTGATGGGTTTCCTCGAACTGATGAAAATCGCGTCGCGTTCGAACAATTTGTAAGCTACTCTGTTCAAGCCTTCAAAAAAAGGTTCAAAGCCTTGTTCTCGGTTATCATTTCCTTAGTTTGGGTTTGTACATTTTTTGTCATGTTTTGCGATTGTGTGGTTAATATCACTGTATGATTGGAGGTTGTCTGTACAATTCTTCACAAAAAGGTTCAAAGGGATGTAGACTCTTTGCCTTGGTTAGTTGATGTTTAGTTAATTTCATTACCTTATTACCAGAGGTTGCATTTGAATGCATAGAGTAATAGATGGCACAAGGGAATGATTGTTATGTAAATGAAATATAGACGATAAAGCCCAAAATGCATTTCAGTGAAAAGATTCTCTGCAAAGATATTTTGTCAATTTTTTGAGCTTGGGCTTAGTGCATTAATTTGTATTGTATGCTCTGAAAGCTTGAGAATGGTGTGATTTTCTTTTGAATAACTACTTGCTCGCATAATCATACTTGAAGAAACATAGACGCACGTGTCTTGAGGTTTAACCATGTGTCGACACTTGGCGGACACCGGCACACATGTCGACAATCTTGGGCACACGTACGACACCTCTATTAAGTGTCCACTACCGTATCCCTTTTTTTAGACGCATTTCTTTTTTTGAAAGTGATGTTTCCGTTTTTGGAATCTTCATTGAAAAGTATTTTATTTTAAAAGTAAAAAATATTTTAGAATAAAATAAGTAGTTTAGAATAAAAAATAAAAAATATTTTTATTTGTTAAATTAAGGTTTCCATAAATTAATGGTACTATAATTAAAAAATATGATTTATTTCAACTACTCTGAAACTTTCTATGGTTCCTTCCTCCGCAACTAGTTTCTCCCTTTGTGGACCATTGGTTTCTCCTTCTTCATGCCTGTGGACTGTTGTTTTCTCCCGTTTCAAGCTGTGGACCACTAGATATTCATCTTTCTTCTTCAACTTTTCTCTCTTCCATTCTCGTTGTGCCTTGTGCGTATTGTTTTATCTTTTTTGCTATTAATGGCATCAATTGTATTGTACCTTGTCTTGTGCTACTAATTGACTTTTACTAGTTATAATGCACCTTGTGATTGGTTATAATGCAACCTTTGATTGGTTTATAAGAAATTTTGATGCACAAAATTCAGATTCACAAAGTAGTCTTTTTTGGATTATTAATTTAATTGTTTTTATTTTTTGGATGTTTTACTATTGTTATATGACATGAATTAAATGCAGATGCAAACTACACATAGATTTTAAGATATTTATATGTCGACGTACTCATTTATTTAGATATTTATATATTGTACGGACGTGTCGTGTCTAGATGTAATTTTTTAGGGTTCACGTTTCCAACACTCGTATTCTTGTCATAAATAGGAACCTATGGCCGTGTCTATTTAACATAGATCATACCATGATTAGTGTAGTGTGTGAAAATTTCTTGGTGAGCAAAATCATTCGTTTCTGTCACTTTTTCTTTTAGCTTTTTTTCTTCCCCCCCCCAACAGTTGGACTCATCTCATGTCTTATTCGATTCTTGAGTGAGGCAACTTCGTTTGTGTTGATAAGGGTTCTACTGAGTTTTAGGACAAAAAAGTGTTCAAAAAGAAATTATCACTTAATAATTCTTGATTGCTTCTTTTGGAGTTCATTTGGAGAAGCTTCGAATCTCATTTCCAAGTTTCTATATATCTCTTATTTGTGTTGCTCTGAAGCACACTGCATCTTAAGCGGAAGGTAATTGCTGCCTAAAAATATCTGTTCTCATGAGAAATTTGAAAGTTTAGGTCATTTTCTTTGATCTTGGGTTGGTGAGGAGAAGTTTTCGATGAGCCAGTAAAGCATGCTCTTACGTTTTCTTTCTTCTTGGATCTGATCAGTGGGTGAGAAGTTTTCTGGTGGTGTTTCCTTATCTTAAACCAGTTTGAGCATCTATGTTGGCACCTTGTCTTTTGCAATGTCTGACAATTTTCCAAATGTTTTAAGCATAATACAAGAAAATGAAGATTCCTACCAGATGCTAGTAGTATTTTAGAGGCCACTCTCTCTTCTGCATTTTTGTATCTCTGCAGTGAAGAAACCCAGAAATTCTGCCACCTTACGCTTTTGATACTGGCAATGTGACCAGGTCAAAACCACATACTCCAATTCGCATGTCCCAGTCGATATAGTGGGGATAATGTAGAAAAGTGAATAAACCGTTTGATTGTCCTGATTTTATGCGTGCGTGAACATAGCCCTGAACGTTGTTGTGGTGATGTTGCTATCTTTGTAAGAACTGCAAAATGGACAATTTGAAACTTAGATCCTTGCCACCTCTGACCTGAATCCCGTGTCTTTTCTGTTAATGGAATAGCATTCTTGTAGTAGCTGTCATATTAGGAGTTCAGCTACTTGTTCAGAACATCAATCCAGTTCAATATTTATGAGAAATCAGCAGGTTAGAAATCTCCTTGAAGTTATATTCCTCTTTTTATCTTTTTATAATTAAGTTATATTCCTTTTCGACTGGGCCGGAAGATTTTGTTGGAAAGCTTGTATTGTTATATAGTTTAAGGTCATGGTCTGGTCTGATCTGAGAAGTAGATTGCTAGACGAAATACTGTTATACAACATCAGTGCTTCTGTATTTCTGAGGACCTTAATGCAATGATTCCCTTGAAAGATTGAAGGAACCATAGTTTGTGTTTTATTTATTACCCCTCTAGTCCTACTTGGAAACTCCTAAAGAACTTCGTTTTCTTTAATCCTTTGAACTTGTATTTGTTGTTGCGAAAAGGTAACTCTGGAGACATTAACTTTGGGTTCTGATATCAAGTGTGTAAAAATTGATAGGGCTGTGAATTAATTGGTCCTTTCTTCTTTGGATTATAGTAGTTAGAGGTGAGGATGAACCCCAAAAGCATGCTGCACTAAGAGATAGACCGAACATACATAGCTTATCTACCCATTATGTTGAATTCCTTGGAAGATCTTCTCTTGTGGTTTGCTCGAAACTTACAAAAATACTTGTTAGATCTCATCAATGTAATTCCACCAAATTTCTTGGTTGCATGCAGAAACCTTTTATCATAAAAACCATTCTACACTAACACAATTTGCCTTAAGAGGCTTCCTTAATTGTTCTTACTGAAATTAGCTGCATGTAGAGGTAAAACTTATCAAAGGTGGCTATAATAAACTTTGTCAAAGTTAAAAATGTTTCATGTATAATTAAACGTCATCCAGAAAACTTCTCTTCTTTTATTGTGGTCTCTCTTTCTTGTCAAGTTCACTGGGCATTTAGAAATTTTATGTGGAATTATTCTAATCTGAAAATGTTTTCTGACCATTGCTCTTTCTTTTCCCTACAAAAAAAAGAAACTTTTTGGGGTATGGATATTGGAGTTTTGTTATGTAGAAATCCTTACTCTGTTCTTCTAATCCTTGGATTTCTATCACGTTTTATTGTATGATAGAAATCAAATAGTACACTTCCAACATGTTACTACATATTGAAGGTACAACACTTTGACAATGCTCAGGCTCTTCTTTTATGTGTAATGGAGCTTTTAGACCCCCCCCCCCCCCCCCCTCTAGCCACACAAATTGCATGGTGCTCTCTTTACAAAACACTTGTCAAAAAACTTTATCTGCAAAAGAGATCGTGGAATGGCCTTATGTTAATTAACTCTCTTTTCTGCTAGTCTATAGATACACATGCTGTTCAGAATTTTCCATTGCTCAAGTGGCTTGGTGAAATATCAATATTATCTTGCACCAAATTTCCTGAATATTTTTGTCTTCTTGATAAGTGGCACATAGGTCTCTTGATAAGTTGTAGAAGGGCAGGGACATGAATTGAAAATGTGTGCCTTGATATTTTCTATGTTGGTATTATTCCTCAAGTAGGAATGTGCCATTTTCTAATGTGTGCCTTTATATTCTCTATGTTGGTATTATTCCTCAAGTAGGCATGTGCCATTTTCTTTCAACCTTAGGTTTATTTGACTTGAATAAAGTGCATAAAAGGGGAAATTTGCAAAAGTGAAACGTATGGACTTATTTGGAAAGAAGATAAGAGATTGTACAAATTGCATGTGGAGAAACCATGAAAGATATTCGTAAGGATTGTCTAAGTTACATAGACACACCCACCTTAAGAGCACAAAGTGAAAGGTATGGGCTTATTTGGAAATAAGATTAGAGATTGTATAAATTGCATGTGGATAAACAATGGAAGATATTCAAAAGGATTGTCTAAGTTACATAGACACACCCTTAATTGTTTTTAACTTCTTATATACATGTTTATCCACGCATACAAATTTAATTTGTGGATACAAGGTGCTGAAGCATGCAAAGCATATGAGTAACGTAAAAGTTTCCAATTTATTATATAGTTCCTGGTGTATTACCAAGACAATTATGTAATATTTTAAATGTGTTTAATTGTTGTTTATTTCACTGTTTTAATTATCCATTGTCTGACTTACAGATTGGAGTAGAACCGGTCTTTGTACTATATTTTGAGTGTCCTGAGGAAGAGATGGTAAGACGGGTTCTTAGCCGTAATGAGGTTGGTATTCTTGCTTTATATTGGGAGTGTTAGCATTTAGAATTTGGAATATTTTCAGCATTTATAATTTGGAATATTTTCATCATTGCTAATAGTATGTGTTTTTTTACTCATACTCAGGGCCGCATTGATGACAATATAGAAACGATAAAGAAACGTCTGAAAGTTTTCAGGAAATTGAATCTCCCAGTTATCAACCATTACTCTGCAAGAGGAAAGGTTCACAAGGTACATTGTGCAGCATAATCTGGGCTGCAACCTCTTTTTCTTTTTTTCATGTTAACTACCTTAAATGTTATGGGCAATGGAAAGTAGGAAACCATCATGTGTTTGGCTGCTTTTATGGCATGGTTGTACTGATTGTACTTCTGATGCTAGTGTTCATGTTAAAGGTTTGAGTTCTTTCGGCCAGAATGCACAAGTTGTTGATGGATCATTTTTTTGAAACTGTAGTTGTTAATAGATCATTTACCATGAATTCAAATTATATGGACTAAAACACAACATATAATCATTTAAAGTTAAGGAGTAATATTTAGCAATTACCACCAAACATATGAAAGGGCATAAGAAAGAAAGAGAAAATGGAAAAGAATAAAAAAAATTCTACAAAACCTTCATTGTAATTTATGTACATTACTTGCTGTTCATTTCAAGTCCAATGCAAGTGTTGAGTCATTTGTCATCAGTATGCATCCCATTTTATATAATAATTTTTATTTTATGTTTTAATTGAGAAAAAAATTCTAGCATTATTCATTTGAAGATACAGTCACTAAATGTGATACGAAGTTGCCTTGTTATGAATATTATTAATCCTCCACCAGTATATTGCTCTACTGGATTAATGAATTAGGCCATCCACCCAGAATTATTGAATATCCATCTACATTTTAGCTGTGGATATATTGTGCTATAACAAGTTCAAGTTTGACTTGATCAATTGCAATTCCATCAACATGGTTTCCTAGATGTCTTCCCAAATTGACATTTCTCGTATTGAAGTATCGGATTGAAATTTTTTTTTTTTTTTGCTAATCCACAATTCTTGCTATCCATTGGAAACTCAAATGTCCCAAAAGAATACATTGTTTTCCCAACACTTTGTATCTGAAGTGGAAAAGGCTAGACTAATTGCAATAAAGACCAGATTATTCAAAATTTTCATTATACCCTACCTAAAAATACTTAAATTGCAAATTTTCAAATGTCATGACCACAAAGACAAATGTCTCCATTGTCAACTTCGACCATTGTGCCGATTCTTCTTGTTTCTGTTGTCTTTCATCCAAGGTTGACAAACTTTGGTTTTGATGCTGAGTATTTCTCAACAAATAACAGATCTTTGGTTGCATCATATCATAAACAGTTTTCTTTGATTTCTTGCCTTCTCATTCTTTTGTAACTGGAAACAAAGGGATTCTGTTTGTTTATGCGTTTGTTTTCAATTATAAGCTAAATGTCCCTAGTATTGTTAGATTCTCTAACACAGAGACTAGCTTGAAAAATTGGGCAGTGTATCCTGTTACATTAAGTGTTTCTTATATTTGCAGATCAATGCAGTGGGAACGATAGATGGGGTTTTTGACAATATTCGGTCTCATTTTGTTGCATATGAGGTATTTATAACTTAGCTGTTATACTTGTTTGAAAATGATATGGAAATCCCCAATGATTATTATGCGTTGATTCGGCCAAGCCGTAGAGACACTGTGCTAGAAACGTTTAGGGACGCTGCAATGTTACGAGCGCGTTTAAAGAACTAGCTGGCTATGTTGCATCTTGAGATTTTTTCGTTAACATATATTCATTTTTATGGTTATGAGTTGAGATGGGGATTCCCCACTTACCAATTTTGTAAGCTTTCTTAACATCAACATTGTGGCCGAACTAATAACTAAAACCAACTATCAGAGATCCCTTGTAACATTATTCATGAACATTCATGTCAGACATGTTTCTGCATTTTTGACACCAAAATGTAGGATGGATACTTGTATATGAGAACCTGGTTGACATGCATGGTGCCACGTGAAATGTGTATTACTAAGTCTACCCTTTATTTGGGTCCTTCCAAACATGGCACGTTATATTGGACATGATTTTCACATCATTAGCAAAATCAGACGCGTGTTGTTAATTTGGACAATTTTTTAGACGCAAAGGCACATCAGGTGCACATGTCAAACATGGATAGATATGTTTTGAGTACAAGGACACCTATGCATGTCACATCAAATGGATATGCATCTTCAGAAATGTTCACCCTGACTTTTTCGAGACCAATCTGTTCAGTAACTCTTTGGATGGGAAGTGCCGAGCAACTCAACATTACACACACACACATACGCTTACATTTATTAAGTCATGGTTAAGATTTGGACTTGTCGCATTCAACAAGGAGAGCCCCTTATTCTTAGAGAAACGATAGGATGGAGACCCTAAAGTAGGCCAATTTGGATACCTAGATTTGAGGAGATTTTCTTTAAAAATGGCATTGCCTTGGGAGATATGAGATACCTTGTAAGATGAGAAGAAGTAGGTTATGAGATTTGGAAAACGATTTTAGATAAGAACAGGTGAATCATACGGGATAGAAAGGATAAAACTCTGATATGAGATTTGGGAGAAGAGATTTGGGGACAGGATAGGATATGAAATTTAGGGCAAGAAAAAGAGAGACCTTTTTTTCCTTATTAGCTGATCATGTGTTTCGTGGGCAAAATCCCTCTTTGATACGGAAAATGAGAAGTTAAGAAGCAAAAGATAGCTAAAAGAGGAGAGTCAGATAAATAATTCCAGTCTTTAGAACCCCTCACTGGCTAAAGAATCCGCTAGAGTGTTTCCCGGATATGCACAAAATTGATTTGTGTTTCTAAATCCGTCCAATATTTCATCGATGATGGTTGAGATTCGGCATGAGCATGGTGAAATTTTCGATGTCAATGCTATAATGTTAGAAGAGATGCCTTCTATGATGATAGAGTTCCGTTTTCGAGGCATGAAGCAGATCCCTATGAAAAGGGCAAGGGCTGCTGCTTCATTGGAGTCCCGGATCTTTTCAATTTTTTATCAGAAAATGCCACCGCCAATTCTAGCATGTCTGGGTTTCCCAATAGAAGTACCATCAAAATTAGATTTGAGGGTCCCTATGGGGGCGGGTTCCAAAAACAAAGACTGCCCTTGACCAGGGTATGTCTGCTACTGTAGTTACCCCGGCTACAAAGATCAGAGTTTGAAAGGCCACATAATTCCTTTTCCTGATGCCTTTGATAAAACTGTTATCTTAATTCTATTTCTAAGTTGTGCCACAGCTGTGGTAAGAAAGAGAAACCTAAGCAATGTACAGGGAATAGCAGCTTTTCAAGAGAGAGGTAGCTTTCAAAATGTTTGGGAGCGATTCCTGTAATTTCTGGCCTAATACTTTTTTGTCATGGTAGCTATAGAGGTAAATACCTATAAACGTATGGGATTATTCGCATCTATATATGTTGTCTATAGAGAAATCGAATTCGAAAATCATGCCTCTTGTGTCTAACAATATCGTAGGATGGGGAAGGGGACTTATGTCTTGTACGTGGAGAGCCTAATGTTTTCAAGTGATTAAGGATTGGATCAGGAATAGGCAAATTACCTTTCATCACATAAGCTAGAAGCCAATCAAGAGGCAGATGTAGTGGCAAAGAAAGGAATTCTTAGGCACAAATGGTGGTAACTTGGTTTCTTATTTGTGTGTCTAGTCCAGTGTTCGCAATATTGAACTGGAACGGTTAACCAAACAGGGGTCCGGAAGCGGTTTAACCAGTCTAATCGGTAAACCGGCCGATTCAACAGCTCTAACCGGGCAAGTCTCGAACGATAAAAAAAGTGTTGAAAAAAATAGAAAAGATACAAACAAAATCTACTAAAATATGAAAATCATATAAAGAATGTGATTAAAACAAAACACACTCAAATGAAGTTGAAAATTATTGAAAAAAATGCATTTTAACGAATCGATTTGTGCCATGGGTATTTTTAAAATTTTCTTAAAAAGATGGGAAAATATAAAAGTGAGTATCAATGACCATAATTTTTTTTATTCTTTACCATAATGTAAATAATATTAAAATAGTGTTATAAAATCGACTTGACCAACACTTTTTTAAAAGAAAATAAAAAAAATTAAGTGATATATAATATAGACCATTATTTTTGTAAATACGTAGTAAATGACATATTGGTTAATAGATCTAATAGGCAACTAATTAGTATATGGTGCATTGGTTAGTGGGTTTAATAGCAAATTATTTCTTTACAAGAACTTTCAACTTCGTTCGATTCATGTGGGCAAGTAAAGTTTTTGAACTTCTTACCAATGTAAGGGTTTAATAACAAATTATTTCTTTACAAGTACTTTCTAGTTCGATTAATGTGGCAAGTAAATTTTTTGAACTTCTTACCATTGTAATGAATTCTTAGAATTGTTAAAATGAACCACACCAATGTTTAAAAAGCAAACCGCTAATGGCAGGATCGAATCGTGGTCCGTATAAACTATATTCGCCAGCGCTAACCAATACGCTATTCTAAAATATTTGATATAAATATGAAGTAGTATTCTATTTAAACTTTAAGAAATCGGTTGATCACAAAACCGCCCAAAATAGGAACCAGCCACTGGCCGGTTCCGATATAACCGGGCGGTTAGCGCTTAGAGGTTAGATTGGCCGATTTTACGAACACTGGTCAAGTCATAGAGCCTTTATACACAGCCACTCATGTGATGAAAAGAGAGATACGATTAGTACGTCAATTTTGCTATTAATGAGCTTAGTTAATGATAGAAGAAAAGGACTTCTGCTGTGATGTCTCTTGCTTTTGCCACACGGGCAATGCCCGTGTCATTGGCTAGTATTTCTATAGGGCAGTATTCAGTGGTTCCCAAACCATAAAAAATTATTTTTCCCCCACCTCATCCACCAATATTTTATCGGATGGACCCAAAAGAGTTCCAGATCAGTTTCCAAAAGATTTGATTTGGAGCTCCATAAATGCTCCAAATCCACCAACCCAGAATCATATTTGGACCTGCCCATTTGAATGGATGGTGGATTTGGCATCCATTTCAGATCTTCTTTTGGAGCTTTTTCTTGGATCTCAAGCAATTTAAAGTGGTGGATCAGTTTAGAGCAGCACCGGTTTTGGGGATCTGTGAAGCACCAAAGGACTTTCCTAGTTGTAAGTGTGTGCATATTTTTTTTCTCATGGGTTTTACTTGAGTTACACTGTCTCCCCCTTCCACCCTTTCCCCCTTGATTTTACATCTCCGACAACTTACTGGAGAAATTTTTGCACTGTTTTACCAATTTCTTTTTTTTATCCCACTCTCTGTCTCTTCCCCTCTCATAAACCTCTCTCTCTCTCTCTCTCTCTCTCTCTCTCTCTCTCTCTCTCTCTCTCTCTCTCTCTCTCTCTCTACTACTACTACTACTACTACTACGTACTACGTACGTACGTACGTACTACGTTACTCTCCTTACCGTTCTTACGTTCGTACCTACGTACCGTACCTTAC